CAGGCTGTTACCCCATCCCCCCCCCCTCTGTTCTTCCTGTCCCACTACAAGAATTTACTATTTCTGCGCATAACAGGAGCAAATCAAAAACTGGTCCGGAAAATCCTCAGTGGCGTGGAGAAAATTAATTTTTTTTGGAATGAAACAAGTATTTACAGAACTTTATTTATCAGTTGCGGGAAGAATATGAACGTCCGCAATTAATATCGAAAAGCAATTTAAAAAAAACACTCGTCAGTAATGAAGAAATTTGAATTTATCAACAAGTTCATTTAGTGCCTCAATTACCCCTGACACCATCAAATTATCTACAACGGGTAATTCCCTCCCCTCCATAAAAAACAATGGGAATAATGAATACTTGCGAATTGCGAAAAAAAAACACATCAGTAAGACAAAGTAGGTTTAATGTTTTGACTCATTCTATCAACATGCATTGCAAGTCGATGAAATTAATTATTTTATCTTATTCTCATCTTTTTCTACTCTTTTTCCAACTAATTTTCTGTGAAAAAGTTACGAATCACACGCCAAAATGAGATCTCTTCATCATTTGCACACAATACACACTTGCCTGCAGCTAGTAGGGAAATTCCGTTCTCGCAATATTCGCTGATAATTCATCGAATCGGTGGGTTGTTGAACAGTAAAGAGGACTGAATGAATAAAAGCAGCTTCAAACCGATGAAATGAAATGACAAGTTCAAGAATGTGTCCGTTCTTCCTCTAAGCTGCAATTATTCGCACTCCCCCCAAAGCATAGTGTCTGGCCATGATCCTCCTAGGCATTCGCGTGAGGTAGACTTCAAGTGAAAATTTCCGTATAAATAGCAATAAGGCATAGTATTTTTAATGAATTATTATAAAGCAATAACGTTGCATTGCTTAATTTAACATTTTGATATATCACACAACATCCGATTTATTTCAATGAATATATGAACGAATAAATATGAAAATCATTTCAGTTCTATGCACCGTCAGTTAAACGAACTGAACGTCGTACCAAAACTACCTCAGCAATTTCAAATGATCACGAATCAGTGCTGTAACGCAGCATCGTATTGTTGTGATACTGTTCTCTCTCAGGATAATCCGAACCAAATTCAAGGTTAATATTACCACCGTCATTAGTGTTGCCGTCATTGCTGTTGCTGCTATCGTTATTGTTTTATTTTTCATTACGTCGTCGTCATGGATACCGATGATGGAAATCATACGAATTTCGGTTTTGTTCGATCGGGAATCGACCTAACAGTTTTAATATTCGGCCGGAATGCCACGATTTCGGGATCTCAAAAAGTGCATTCGGTCAGATTCTGATCGAACCCAAACTTAATTTGGTCACTAACTGACACCATTGTTGGTCAGTATTCACCTAAAAATTAGATTAAATTATCAACGATTCTTCATTGTTTATTATGAATTAATATCGATTGTTCATGAATAATGCTTGATGTTTAAGGATTCACTAAAATTTTACAGTGTTCAGACTAAATTAACGTTTGCTGAATCTTTAATCCGTCAGAGACGATGACGTCAACACTAAAAATTGCATTACATAGTTCTTGCTGACTTTAGCAAATCCTTCATTGTTCACCTAATTAGCAAATGCTTCAATCCATGACCGTCTGAGGGTATTACCAAAACACCTTTGTGGAGTCCAGTGAAGTCAATGAAGTTTAGTCGTTGAGAGGAAAAGATGTGGTCGGTTTCGAACAAAAAACTGTGACTACGAAAATGCTCGACTGTTTCTGTCAAACAATTGAGAGAAAAGTGAATTGCAGGGAATGGGGTTGGTTGAAGTCTCAAACATAGGCTGTGCTTTGGCTAAAGTTTCGTTCAGGTTCAAGTCTTTCAACAGAAGAACTGCAGCGAACTGAATAGGAGCAATGCTAGCACGCTGGTTTTGGCTTGAGTTTCCCATGCTTCTCAGTGTAGATATCATTGATTAAAGGTACAAGTTGCGCGGCAACATGGGATGGTTGGCAGTGTTTCAGACGTACATCGCCTGGCCCTCTTGCCGCGAGATGTCCAAATTACATCTTTGGTGATAAAATTCTCGAGGAAATAACCGATGGTAACTCTCAATTTTATTCTCATTCAATCAACTTATTTCCTCATCCCAGCAAATCCTGCTGAAAGAACTATGTCCATTCGAAAGAAACAATAGGCAGCGTTCTTCATTCTTCACTTCGTCAGTTTACTCATGCAATCTCGTCTACTTTAATGTGCTATAAAAACAAGTCACCATTTCACAAAGTATTAAATAACTCAAATCAAACCGAATAATCATATCACAACGTTTATATGTGATATACTCACACTGATTATGTCATTCATTCAAGATCCAGAATATCTTATCTCTTTAATTGGTATTCTTGTCATAGATAACCGACTATTTGATCTGCAGATAATTTCGCGATAAAAACTTGTAACATCGATGGTCAGTGGTTAACAGTGAATCGACCCTCTGGCAAAGCTGAATGGACCGATTATTCTGGCTGTCTCACTCAAAAGGTACATTTGTTGTTTAGTTCCACTATCATTCATCACTGTTATCGCATTCATCAGCTATAAATGGCATCATTGTCGTGCTCTTATTATTGATATTATTACCGTAAAATATTGATGCTATCGCTCTCATATACGCTCCAATGACAACAGGCTATTGAAAGGAAACGTAATTAATCATCATCCTATAATTTCTATTCGTTCACATTTTCAGGAATACGTTCACATCTCATCAATTTTTTTTTGCAAAGCTTAAATATGTAATATATGGATAAGATGAGTGTGAAAAGTCATTGTGAATTAATGTTTGCATTCTGATTAATGTAAATAAACTTCATTCGTGAATTGATTTATTTTTAGAAACCATCCGCAAAGTTATTCACTGGAATATTCGCATTCTCAATATCAGCTCTGGCACTAATTCCTGCAATCGCTATTTACTCGTTTTATCGGTTCGATTTAATCTCACTGCCTTCTTAAATCAGCAAATATTAATTATTCATTCAGAACGTTATTAATTCTCTTGAGCGTTTTAATGAATCGAATTGCTCCAATCGATTTATGNAAAAAAAAATCCGTATGCTTCTCAGTGTTGCAAAAAGCTGTTTACATTGGGCGTAAATCGAATTTCATCAAAACCTCGAAACAAAATTGAGTATTTTAATTAAAAGAATTGAATTCAATGAATAAACTTCAATTATTCATTGCTCCTATCTCTGAAGTACTAAAAATAGTTCTCAGTACATCCTAAATCTCAAGGGAGTGAATTAGTATGTTCCAACAGAGACATCAGTTTACAACAGGTTACATTTAGTGTGATCGAAAGATTGTTTTACGAACATCTGATGAAGGCAATAACGATGTGTGCATAGCATTAAAACTTTAACTGAATCACTGTTATTTCAGTTCTCTATATTCTCAAGCAATGTTTCGTATTCATCGACAACTACTTCTATCGCTCCTGATGTCTGCACTCTTTTACCTGTTCAACTGCTTCTTTTTTGTCATTGATGGTGCACCTGGCTATACGCTATACCTATCAAATCATGTTTGTACTTTCAGTTATCACTTCATCACCTATGCACTTCGATTTAGTCGCTCAAGTTGGTCCCATTTCAGCAGATGAATCAAAATTGTTGTTTGCATCTTACAATCTTATAACCACACTCAACATCAATCTCTTAAGAACAGGTTGATATGGTCTCCGATTACCATTTGTAGTTTTGATAGCTTTACACTGACTTCAATTAATACAGATTATTGGATATTTGACACCTCATCCAAATGAAATCAGTTCGGTGGCTTGGAGCATCTATGTAGAACTGTTAAATATGATGCATACCATTTGAATGTAAAAAAATCGTGGGCTTGAAGGTAGCTTCAGATGCAGTAAATGCTCATCGATTTAACGAATTTCCACTGGGATGAGCATAAAAAGGAAAAAAGGATTTAAAACCAGTCATGTTCACTCGAATAGGGGAAGAAGGGCTTGATAAAGTATAGAAAGAAATGAATGAGAACATGTCGCATCTGATTGACATCTGAATGCGATGTCTATTTAACGAGACATTCTCATTTTTTGTTATTTTATGAAATAAAACAAACATTTAACCTCAGTGCCCCAATCATTTCAAATGATTTATCATCCTATTCAATATCCAATCCTCCTATTCATTCATGATACCCAGAAAGAATATTTGAGTTTAAATTTGCTGTCAAAATAGGGATGGGGTTACTAAACATTAGCACTGTGACAAATGAAAACAACAATAATTAATTAGGCTGATGCTTCGGATTATCCGCAATTAAGCACTTCCAGTTAGAGAGGGTTGATGCAACAACACGTTCACTACATTAAATAGTCCTTTCGTGACCTCATAGTCGCATTCACAATCGTGTAGATCTTCCAGTCCTAGGATTTTTCGAATTTTTCTCGAACATTCAACAAACCCGTCAAGAAATCTCTCAAACTGAAAGTTAAATGACGCAGCTTATATTGTCATACGAAAAGTATTTTGGTGATTAAATGTTTCATCACATCGGAAAACGAATTCACTGAGTGCTGATTCTCATCGTCTTGCGAAATTAGTTAAAGCTGAATAATGATTGAAAAATTCAGATCACTTGTCGATTATTATTCACGGTTCAGCTTCGTTATTTGCGTTTGGCAACATCAACGTGGATGTTCGCTGAAGGCGTTTATTTGTACCGTATTCTAGTGAACGCGTTTGCTGAACCCGAATCGTTGAGGGCATATTTTATCGTTTGTTGGGGTTGGTCTTCAATATGTGTCACTGAACATATTTTGTTAAGAATGACGCAAACATTCAAGCGATACATATACGAGTGTGATATCTCTGCATGAGTAACACTGCTCCTTGCATCAGCAGTCGAACTTCGATTTGCTGAACCATCGACGTTTTCATTTTCGAATTTTGTAACCGATTTCAAGTCGTTAAAATTTGCTTGCTGAGTCGTGAAATCACATTCAACGTAATATTTCATAACCTAATCACACTGAGTGCTCTTCGACTGAAGTAAACCTTCAGGATTTCCCACGTTAGCAACGGCAATGTACAGCGTGTTCCGTCAATTCACGGATAACAATCAGATGTGTTGGGTTTCGCCATCAGAGAACTTCTCTATTGAGTCGATCATTATTGGTCCTTGTTTATTAGCGCTTTGTGTATGTTTCTTATAAAGAATATCGAACTTTCATTGGTGATCAGCTAATACATAGTTTGAGTGTGCGCATCGTATCAAATTATTGCGTATGATAATTGCGCAGAGTAGTGACCGAAATTGAGCAACTCTCAATTCATATTTACCAACGAATTTTTGAAAGCAATTCGTATGCAGGAAACCTCATAAGATAGCGTCATTCGCTGCGCTATTGCATTCATTAAGCAAATATACATTCAATCTACCTGCGGTTCCCTCCCAGTTTTCAAGTTTGTAATGAAACGCATAGAAACAGTTATAGAGAGGGATCGTTGTTTTTTTACTCGTCATTGTTAATATTTCTCATCAGTTGAATTTTCAGAATTTCATCAGAATAATTTTTAGGGCAATTTCATTTTGATGAGTGGGATTATGTACGTGCTTGTTAAAAAGCTAAAGTACAATCCACATATGGAGCCTGCTCAATATCGGTTAGTTGCTAATTGTAAGATTCAGTTCATTTATGGCACATAAAGATGATTATAATATGCGTCAGTGAATATGCATGAAAAATGTTTTAATGTGCATTAAATGATTTTGAATTGAACTGAATACAGAAAAGCTGTGCGTGCAGTATTCATGCTTGTGCCGGTATTTGGACTTCACTTTCTCTTCACGATTTATCGTCTTTCGAGTTATACACATCAAATTATCAATCTCTTTCTGGATGGCATCCAGGTCAGTCATTATCCATCTGATCGTTTATAACATCAATGATATTGCTTTGTTATTACTGCACCGCAAGCTCTAGGGATTAAGGTTACGTTACGTTAATAGCGTTCGTATTATTATTGTCAGTGATTGCAAGCGGAGGTGAGCAAACTTCCGTTACCCGCTGATTGTTGATTATCTTCGTTTATTTTTTCGTGAATAAATCAACGACTGCGTTCAATCATGAAAAGTTGACAAATCAGTATCAACGATACCCTCCTCGAACCGCGTCAATTCTCGAAGTTTTTCACCTCGGTTTACTCACTTAACATTATCGGTGTTAACTTTTTGGGCAACGAATTACCGAGTATTTCGATAACATTGTGATTAACGGGGCCTATCTCTGGTTATAAGATCGTATACGGATCAGAATAGAATTTTTAACGAGGTGGTAAGATTCAGTGCAGACGCGATCATGTCCTGTGCGATTTTTTTCATTGAACAAAGAACAAAGAATACATAACATTTAAATAGGTGAAAATTTCAGCGACAATGAAAATTTCAGCGGTTGTATTTTTTGTTATGGTTGAACTCAGCAAATGTGACAGTAATAAGTATGAAATTGATCATTATTAATTGAGGGATTCGTGGTAGCTGTCATACTTTGCTACGCAAATGGCCATGTTCAAGAATGTGTTCATAAAACGGTCGTAAAAAAATTAGACAATCGAAATTTGAAGAAACTGCACTTCGAACGAAGAGGACGATTCAACAAAGAACGACAAAGTAGTGATAATCACCAAGCTGACAACAGCGTTACTGTATCGTTCATTCAACAAGCGACATCGCAACACTCATGATCTGTTTTGGCATTCAAATTTTACGAATAAATCATTTGCAAAGAAAAACTCGTTAATCTATCAATCACAAAGCAACGTTTCCCAACCGATGCTGCGAGATAGTATTCCAAAGAGGGTGGCATAACATTTCATCGTTAATACATTAAAGCAGGCGAGCACGGAGTTCAACTTATACATGTGTATAAAGCAGACGAGGATGGACTGACTTTGACATATGCATTTTTGAAATGGCTGCAACGTACTCTAGTGGTATAAACCAGTGTTCCTTTCCTCTGCACCCCCTAAAGAATTTAAGTTGTCCTCAAACCCCCTACAGCAATAGTTAAAATGTCCTCGCACCCCTCTAAAATGTTAAAATGTTCACAGCGTCCACTCTGTATCTCTCATCCACTGCAGTGAGTACCTGCTGTAGTGATGGTATCCGGCCGACGGTCAATCGGAAAAATCCGACAATTTCGATCGAAATTTCGACGGCCAGATTCCGACCGAGCAGTTTGCGAGGTCGATCGGAATTCCGACCGTCGGGAATTCGAAATGCCAGTTCGGCAGGAATCCGACCGACTGAAATTTCGCTCAGACGCCACCACTACCGTAGGATTCCGACCGAACTTCGGAATTGGCTGCAAAGTGTATGTACTTTATTGGTTTCGTATTGCGAAACTATGATTCATTGATGGCTTGAAAAGTGCTGTTTGTCTTGGCACATTACGAAAACCGCTCTTACATAAGAGTTTTTTACAGGAGCCAAATGTAATGTAGGAGTCTTGTAGAGGGGTGGAAATTTTAGCTTAATGGAATGTAGCAATAGAGAAGGGGTAATTCGAGAGAAGGTGGAAAAGAGCAGTCGATGAGAGAAAGTGAGTGAGACAATGGATGAGGAAAAAGATAGAATTGAGAAGAGATATATGTCCGGCTGTATTGGGCGCGCTATCGAATAACGGTAGCGCGCTATCGCTATTCCGCTATCGAAAAGAGGTCCGCTGCTCCGCTATCTTTATCGCCATTACCCCCGAATCGATAGCGGAGCGCTATGTCTATCGCTATTGCCTACTCTAAAAACCTCATTACGCCGCTGAATGTTTGAAAATTTTCATTGAAGAACACGCATTTCTGAAATGAATACGAGAAACATTATAAAATTAGAATCCACCTCCACATCCGAACCAACAGCTAAAGAATCAAGCACAACTTCTGAACCCACTGCTACAGAATCCAACTCCACACCTGAACCAACTACTACAGATGCTTTTTTCTTCGAATCGCTCACAAGAGCTCAGTAGATTCGAATTGAGTGCAGTGTTGCAGCACAAATATTTATTTAGATACCTCAATGATTGAGGGACTATATCAGTGGTTCTCATAAGAGATGAAATTACCTATTTTGAGTAAATGTAATTTGAAGGTGGAGTTGATCGGAAAATTAGTATTTCGTGCAGTTTTATGTTACGACAGAACGCCATCCTATTTTCTAAGTATCATTAGCTCGTCCAGGCCTAACAGGGTTTTCATTGGTTATTTGAAATCACATGCATTTGTCAGTGAATGGTGTTTTAACAGGGTTTTCATTCTTTTTCTTGCTACTGTAATCGCTCTCATGGCTTTCATCACCAAAAGTGTTCTCTTTTGCTAATTTCTCATTCATTTCATTCAACAGTTAAAGGCAAATTCTCATTCTATCAAATACACTCTATAATTGATCATTCGACTGTTGAATGTTGTTGAGCAATAATATTCGTTGTTGTATTGTTGATTTCGACTGCCAACATTCGTCAACGTATCCAGTAAATAGTACATGCTACAGAATAAGAAACTACTTTGAACTGTGAAGTGAAATGA